CATAAAAAATGAAGAGAATCAGCACTGTATATTGCAGAAAGTGCTTGCTGATGTTAAGCAATTTAAAAATAAAAACAGTAGCCTAGGTTTATGAGACAACTTCATGGTGTTCTCTAATGATAAAACTAAGCAAGTATTAGTGCATGAAAGTATGAGGAAAGATAGACTCCTGTCAGAAATGCAAAGGACTGAGAATCAAACTCTATGCTTGGTATTGGCATGTATTTATGGTCCTGAGCAAGTTACTCCTCTTCCTCATGCCATGCTTCAGTGGGCAGAGTATTCATGCAAGCAAGGTGGGACCTGTGTTCTAGTCCTTCCTCCCAAGCTACCCAAGCCTACATCTCCCAGGAGAGACCCTCGTCCCTGGGCTATTAAGTGTCCTAGGTGGAAGGACTTTCTCTGTCTTTCTTCTGAATGGAGCTCTCCCTATTTAAACTGCCATGGATGCAAGAACAGGAGAAAAACCCCTTTTTTTCTAGTCATCTGAAGGTGATGTGGCTCGAATCCCGATGCCAGTGGTGACAGATTAGCCAAAGACTGTTCAGTGTACAACACAAACAGAATCTGCAAAGCAGGTAGTGGAAACCAGGATGAGTAACCTCTTCCATCACCTGGAGTAATGCTTTCTCCTCCAGCCCAATGATTTATTAATGATTACACATAAATTAAACAGGAGAAGTTGCAGGAGTACACCCTAAGCCAGAAAAGACTATTTGGTTAGTTATTTGGTCCAGGGGACATCTGCTCAAGCACATGGAAGAATTATACCAGCTCTCCCATCTGCCAGGGAGTGATCTCAGGGGTCATGCTGGTGTACTTTGTTACAAGAAAGAGAAGTCAAGCTGTTTGCCCATATTTTGAAGAAAGATGTCAACTCCTACATTTTGTGCCAAGTGTATACTTGCTTGTATTGTGGGGTATGTAGATATGAAGTCATGTGATCAGCTAAGCCAGCCCATTCCTACTCTTTGCCTTCAACATGCTAAGGGCTGCCCTTGAAGTTGTACTCTAGTTATTGGACCATTTCTTAGCCCCAGTCACTGACATAATCCATATAAAGAGATATATAAATATATAATAACAACAACTCTTCCAAAAGAAGGGATGGGGATGGGGGGCCAGGGTTGGGTTAGCCCAGGATTACACTCTTAGTTTGTCCATTTGCCCACCTAGCCTCTATTTTCTTAATAAATGTTTGTGTCAAGAGCACCTAAACATTTATGAAAAATTTTATCAACCGCATGACTTTTGCTTTGGTGTCCAAGAGACTTGCTAGAAGTTGTATGGAAAATGTACACCAGACCTGGAATAAATTCCAAGTCTCCCTTGTTCCAGTCTAGTGCTTTAGTGGTAAGACCTCCTGCCTCATTCCCAAAAGTTTTATTATACTCTCTTCTCCCCAAAATTTGTCAAACTCATATTTGCTTGAGAAAGCATTCATCAAAGAAAGGGTGCGTGAATCATGTTATTACATGTGGCAAATTAACTTGTTGCATGTTGGAGAAAGAAAAACCTGGGGTTTATTGCTCTTGCCTGAAAACAGAAAAAACTCACTTGATGTCCTTGTGCAGACTGAGTCTCTCTTGACTGAGACCCCCTCATGTGATGCCACCTGCATTATTTTGGGTTTAACTGCAACACTTTTGTTGTTATTTGCACTTATTTGCTCTTGACTATGTCAGATCTCCCTGGTGTGTTTTCTTTTTTCAGACTTCTGCAGTGCTTCTGAAGCCAACTCAACAGAGACTGTTCTACTGAGAGCTTTCTGAAATCATTCTTAAATTACGATGCATAATCTCTTGAAATTAAGTCAACGACAAAATTCAAATGTAAGTTTAAATTGGCACCTTCCACTTAACTGATTCCTAGTGTATAAAAAATTCTTCAGCTAAGTACTTAAGATGACATTTAATTGGTTCTGAGCATCATACTACTTTGTGTAAAAATCTATATACTCTTAAAAAACTTTAATCACTGTCTTTCAGGCAGGTATATAAAAGCTTTAAAGTGGGACTGACTGAGAAATTTGTTCCAAACTGCACAGCTGTCCTCAGTGCTTCTTCATACCTCTTGATAATTAAAAGGATTCTTAGAAAGATTTTTAGAAACTATGAGGGGTGGCTGGTGCTGTTGGTTTTTTAGCTCTAATTAAATAAGGGCAGGGAAGCACCAGTAAATAAGCAGCTGAAGGAAATAAAGAATTATCTTTGCTTCTGAGGAGACTTTTTTTAAATGTGCAAGAGAGTCAGGTTAGCAGGCTCTTCTGCTTCTTTCTGCTTATCCTGCACTGTTAGAGCTCACTAGGCTGAAACTGGAATATCAGACAAAGAAGTAGAAAGTTATCCAAAATTGCTTGCTTGTTTAAAAGTAATATATACATTATTGTTAGTCATTCCATGGCATTAGATCTTACAGCTACATTTTGGTTAAGTGTTCCTCTATGGCCATGCTCTCTCTCTCTCTCTCTTGGTTTTTTTTGGCAGTAGTGTTCCTTTCTAACAGTATTTTAGTGCTTAGAATTGATGGCAAGCTGTATTTTATCCATATAATGTTTAATTTAATAAGGCAAAATTTGATTATTTGAATTAATTAGAGAGTGTGTAAGAACTCTGTATGTAATGCACTTTTGATACTCACTTTTAAATGGATGCTTATGTCTATTGATTTATAAATATTTGAGGTATATTTATGCAAATTTGATATACTAGCAATGCAAGGTATTATAGATCATTTGCAAGAGTGTTGCAGCTCCCATTTAAGCAGTGAGTGGTGTTCATTAAATGCCCATGCTTCAGCTGTATGTTTGCATGGCAGTATTTTTTCTTTTAAGGCTTAGCTATTAAATGCATTGTAAAATACTGCAGAGTTGTATCTCAGCCTTTTTAAGTGATTGCTTGACTCCAATGACTGTGTGGTATGGAAGCCATAGTCAAAATATGTCTATTTAAAACAGATGTAGTCATTAGCAGGCCCTCTAAACTGTGCTTCCCAGCTTCTTCTAAGTCAGACCATCTCCTAAGCAGGTTTGGAGACAGATGATTATCACTGCTTCCCCACGTGCCAAGTGTAGCCATGCTGCTGCAGGGGCAAGAGGCTAGTGCAGTAGAAACAGGACTCGTTACTTACTTAGACAAGTTTGCTGCCATCTGTGCTCCTCATTCTGCCTCATTGATGCTATTTAAAAAGGAAGCTAAAAATAAGTATTAGTCCTTACTTATCAGTAGGCACAGTAAGAAATTTTACTCCCCTGAATGCTGCTCAGGGTTAGCTTTGGTCAGCTATTTGTTGCATCACATTGCAACACTATGGACTGCTACAGGGAAGGTCCTTTGGGCCCCTGTGATCCCAGAGAAGCTGAATGTCAGTGCCTAGGTGAATTTAACCATAGCATGATGAGCAGGAGGAGTGGGCTGTAGTAATCTGCTGTGAGAGAGAGAGAAATAGTGCCTGAGCAAGGCCTTGCCAGTAACAGAAAAGAAACAAGATTGTTTTCCAGACTGCCCTAACCATGACCTTAGGATAGGGATTTCTGACTGACCCCGAGCCATGAAGCATTAAAAACGCAACAAATGATCCACTGGGCTCTCACTTCTTGACCTCCCTGCGAGCAGAGAAGCTTTTCTAGCTATCACTGAGAGAATGATATCATTTCTGTAGTTATCTTTACAGTTTTCAGACTGAGTTTCTCACCTGCTTAAAGAGAACTGTGGCAAGCACTACCACTTCACTCCAGTTATTTTTTTGTTTTAGAATAGCAGTTCTGTCATTTGCTGATGGACCAGAAGAATGCGAACCTGTGTATCTGATTTCAGTAGTCTTTTCCTAATTTGGTATTTTGTCGTTTTGTTAAAATATCCAACACAGAGCCCTTCTTTATGTCTAGGGGAGTTGCCACCATTGAGCGCAGGGAGTAGGCAAAAAAGGGACCATTTTCCATGGGGAATGGACTTGCTGGTCTACAAGCACAAAATCTTCCAGTCTGACAGCTGTGACCCTGTTACAGCGATCACACACACCCCCTTCCCCAGTGCCTGGCATCACAAGGGAACAAAGGCATTAGAGGTGGGCTTACACAGGTCTGGATGCTGCCCAAAGCGTCTGCGTAGGCAGTGCCCCAAGTGATACAAACAGGTGCTACCACCTGCAAGTGGGTGTTACAGGTGTGTTGCTGGTGTTACAGGTCTGGGTCTGATGTGCATCCTCTATCACAAAGTAAAGCAAACAGTGTGTCTTGAAGCCAAACATACCACTGCAGCAGAGTTTCAGTGGTTATTCTCTTGGGGTTGCACCCACATATATGAAGCTAGGGTTTGTCAGCATCACTCTGCTGGGCTGCATGCTGCCTGGTATGTTATGGTTATTCTGTTCTGCTGTAGTATAGACCATTGTAATCAGCCTCTGTATGCTCCTAAATTAAGGCAGACCATCTTTTACTCCTAAGAAACCTCCAGAACCCAGCTGCAGCCATAAAGCTGCTTCAAATGCAAGCTGGCTGCAGTTCAGAATTAGGGCCAATATTTTTAACAGCATCAAATTTTGTTGTAGGCCCTCTGGAAGGATTCTGTATATGAAACGAACGGGAGCAAAACCAAAACTGAAGTCCCCTGCGTAGGAAAACAGGTGAAGTTGACTGTGTTTGAGAAGAGAGATGCATCTCCCATATGTACTACAAATAGTGTCTGATAACATTCATTTGGAATAATGTGTATCTTCCTTTACTGTTGGCTTATGTCACGCATTATGTCATGACCTCTTGTGTCTGAGCTGGCGTCTAGTAGAACATACCAGCCATATTAATCTCATCAACATAATCAGAAAATAACTTGATATTAAATCATAAATTCTACGCACTCTGTGTGGGCCTGTCCTTCGACATGTATGTCCTTCTACATATTGCCACTGGTGGTTTTTTGTTTGCATTGCAGCAACCTGAGGGTAAATGCAAGGAAAGATCCAAGATAGGAAGGCAAATTGTTTTTGCAAACATGGTAGAGAAAATGTGCGGAATCAAATGCCAATATTAATGCATGACATCTGCTCTCTGCTCCAGTTCTGAGTAAAGTAATCCAGTCCTAATTACACACTGCTGTGCCCTCTACCAGCTAAGGAGAATGGTGCAGCCATTCTTAGTACCGGTATATAAATTTCTTTCTGAATCTGATAGATACATTAGATGCAGGGCAGGCTTTTCATTTTTTGGCTGTCAGTTGCTTTGGGTAGCACAAAGAGAGGGGAGGAGAAAGGTTGCAGCAGGAAAAGATCAAAATCTTCCAAAAAGGACTCTGCTTCTAGAATAAAAATTTTTCCTAGAGAACTTTCCCTGCAGACCTCAATCAATATTATTCTCATCTGAGTGCACATATTATTCATTAAGAAACATTGGCAAGATGTGCACTATAGTGTATGCCTTCATTAGAGCCTCCACCTGCCTGCTTTTATCAGAAGATCTTCAGTAACTTTCATCTTCATTGAACTTGTTTCTGTCTTTGGATTGGGAAAGAAATCTTGTAATTTCACAGGATGGGTTTATTTAAAAAAAAAGATAAAATATTAATCTCTTTGGTTTGTGGATGTGTTTTCTCCTCTCACAGATTAATAGATCAAGAAGATTATCACCATTAGATTCAGACTGAATTGGATGCTGATGAAATCATGTGCAAAACCTAGTCCAGTGCAACAAACCCTCACTGACTGTGTGGCATGGGAATAGCTGGAATTCCTCCGTTGTGTGTTCAGCAGCCATGCCATATCCTTTGTGTGCACCTACTGCTATTGTGAAAGCAGCCATTTTCCTATGGAATCAACATTTTTAAGTGATGTGTTGTTAGAATGATGCTATGAAGACCTGGCAAATGTCATCCATGCCAAGTAGAGTCAGAAGAAACCACAAAGCATGGGGGACGCTGGCAGAGTCTTAGGATGTTGTCATCACAAAGAAACGTGAGTCTGACATTGGATTTTATATTTTCGATCCATGTATTTCCATCTCTGACTGTTCTGTGTCAATTCTGCCTGGTCTCTTCAGCATTAAGACGGTGAAGAAAGAATCTTACTGAAGAAAGGCACTAGGATTTTTGGACAATATACTATGATCTAGCTCCATGAGTGGGATCCCTGCGTGCTGCTGCAGCATAAAGAAGGAACGATAGTGACAGATTGCACAGAGCCAGCTCCATGGCTCTGTCTCTGTTCACCCATCTCACATTTGATTAGTCTCTGCCTGACATCAGGCTGGGAGCAATAAGCTCTGATCTTAACAGTGGATGTGGCAGTAAGCCCGAGAGCTCCGTGTGTCACTCCAGAACCAGACACTGTCTCACTGGATTCCTCCGTAAAACAACTGAGGCAGATGTGTGGATGCCAGATTTGTCTTTCAGGTCTACCTACCACACCCACCAAGGTAAGGAATAAAGGCAGGACTATCTGCAGGAAAACATTGCAGTAGCAATGAACTTTGAAGTGGAGAAGGTTATACAGAAAGTCAATTATTGGTCCAGATGGAAGTGAGAGCCATTATAGAAACACCATCACCTAGAATTTACTCATACAGTTTGGGGTGGGTTTTGTTGGGGGAGGGGGCGTTAAGGATTCTTGTCTACTTACTTTAAAGGGCTCTAGGAAGTCTGCACAGATCCTGCTGTGTGAAGAGGTGGCAGAGTCAGAGTCCATGTGTTGACTTGTTCAGAGAGGTTGGGCTAAAGGTGCGTTCCTGAACTTTTGGTCGACTTCAGTATGAATTGAAATTTTAGATCACTGTTGAGCACTGATTGACAGTACAAGTGGAAGAATGCATCTCACTGGAGCCTGGGAAACTCTTGAGAAGTAGGAGAAAGGAGGCTTCTCCTTTCCAGGCTTCTCCTCCAAGGAGGCTTCTCCTCTGTGCTTTCCCTGGAGCCCAGGGGAAGCCAGCCTATCCCAGATCCTAGTCTGGGCCTCCTCTAAAGCCATTCACTTGGATCATAGGTTCCTCTGCCTTAGACCTGCCCTCCTCCCCAGCTGTATCGGTACTGGGGAAATGCTGATGGATCTGCAGTGTGTCAAACCCAACCTGATTCTCCAGCACTTGATACCCACTCACAAAACCTTTCTTCTCATGTTGTTTTTTCATGTAGAAAGCAACTTCATGGAGTTAATTGCAGCTGAGCTGTTCTGGGGGGAGCAGAATCTGCCCATTAAACAACTTATGAAACAAGAAGCAGACCAAGAATTTAGGTCTTGCTACTTTTATTTTTGAAAAAAATTTTTTTCTTTTTGATTTTGTGCTATGGAGAGCAGCAGCAAAACTTCTGAATAACTGATTTATCCGCTGTAAATTTCTCTAAAAGGTCATTACAGATTGTAAAGCCTAATGGCTTAAAGTGCCAACCTTATATCACAGTGGTAAAGAACTCATTCTCTGGAGGTAGTATTTTTGAAGCTTTGCCATTTTTCTTCTATCAAAGGAAATGCTGTATTTTTAAGACACTTTTATTTTTTAAAAAGTAACCTATATTTACAGAAATATTTAACATTCATTTCATGCAAAACAGCAACAGAATCAAGCGATTTATTTTTACAATGTATAGGCAGAGAAGTTAAGTAGATCAAGCGGGAGTTTAGAAATAATTGAGGTATGTAGATCTCAAGTATGTATTTAAGTGGTCTTTTGAACTGCAGCCCATGTTCTGCGTGAACCTAACTTTTTAGAGCACTTGTGATTTTCCTTCTTTACAAGACTGCTGAATTGCAGTATAAGGTCAGGCCCATGGTCACTCTCTTCCGACACTAGCAAGGTAGGTGCAAGTGATTCTGAAATAGGTAATAACGTAGAGATCTTTTGTAGCCAATCTAGTATAGAGCGGTGCAGGTTGTCTTGGTTATTTGTGTGAATTCAAGAAATAAAACCCATGTGTCTAAACTGGTGGACAAAAGTCTCATCTGCTCAGAAACTTGAGTTTGGAAATAGCTGCTAAATTCACCATGTGCAGCAGTGGTCTTTGGTATGGCCTGATGCTGCCTTCACTGTGGGATTCTGACTAGCACATGACTTAATCACCTTCTCTTTTTTGTTTTGATTTTTTTTTTCTCCTGTCAGCTGAAAGATAAAATAAAAAACATATTAACCTCCCTGATGAAGCTTTATAATTCCCAACACTGAAACATTAACCAACTCCTTAATTAAGAGAGACTGAAAGTAGAAGAATGCTTTTATGTCATTAGCTGGTTTTTGCTCCAGTCATCTGCCTCATTCAAGCATAGGATAATATGAAACCTCACGGGTCTGCTAAAGGCTTGACTTAAGTATATTGCAGACTTCCTTTGCAATTTAATGGGAACGGCACGTTGTTCTTAAGAAACTTCATTTTCCCTTGCTCGTGCTCCAGAGTAGCAAAAGAAAAGTAAGAGCAGCTAGTGAGCAAGGACCTCAAGTTAGACCCAGAGGTCTGAGCCCTAGTCCTGACTGCAGCACATAGGTGTTTTTATTCCTGCGTACGTCTTCCCTCCTGCACCAGGAATATCAGGAATTAGTATTAGACCAGACGCTCTCCAAGGCAGAGCACAGCTGTTCTCTTTTATCTGTAGTTTCTGCAGTATTGAGCATGATGACTTCTCAGAACTGCCTAGACAGGGTGTGTGTAAGGTACCATAACTGAGTGAGTAGCAGTGCACGTCAGTGATAAACTGGCACCTCAGGGACGGTGTTGTCTGGTCCTTCTCCAGCAGCGAGCCGCTATGGCGCTTTGTTCCAGAGAACGGAGGGTCGGGGAACTGAGGCTTATTCCCAGTTCTGCCACAGATCTGTGTCGAGTTTTCCCAGTCACTCATTACGCCCGTTGCCTATGTAAGCGCTTTTCGAGGGAGTGATCTAGCTGTTCCTCTCTAGTGCCAAGGTACTAAAAAATAAATGTGGTAAAATTCTTTGTATGAGATTTCTAATCTACTTGGTGAAGGAGGCTCAAAAATTACTGAAACTTGCTCACTTCTCTGAAATGACTCACTGAACAGATATAATTGAAAACCATGCAGAACAATGCTTCACCATACTGTAAAAAAGTCGTTTACCTAAAGTGGGGACCTTTACACTGGGGTTCATCCCTTCATCTCATTAAAGCTGCAAACATAAAAATCCCCATAACTGTAACTGTAGGATTCAAACTGCAGGATGTGTGTTTGGGAATGGAATGTTTTGGGGTTTGTACTTTTTTGCATTATTTTTCTCCCCTTGTGTGATGTTCCCTCGTGCGCATGCATATGTGCAAATTTCTCTCTTCTTTTTCCCTCCACCTCTTTCTTTTTCATCTCCAGTGACCACATCTCTCTCAGCTCAAGTGTGAACTGTATCCTTCTTAGGAAGGATACCAAAGTCAACATCTGTTTTCTTAGTTTTTTCCTGTTCTACCCTTGGCATCCATCAGTGACCTTGAGCTTCAGGGCATGCAGACAAATGCCTGCTACTCGGTAAGTCTGTGTTTAGATGAAACTGCATCACCCCTGTAGCAAACTCAGAATTAAGACTCGAGAGTTGCATACTGAGATCCTGAGATTCTGGCTTTGCACTCATAAGTCTCCTTGGCCACAGTGAGAAAAGAAATGGGCTCAAGGACCAAAAGTACACTCAGAAATGAGTCAATGCATGATGTTCTCCAGGGTCGGTATTTTTCAAGTGCTGCTGTGTTCTTTCAGGAAAAAAAAAAAAAAATCATCGAGATGGATGGACCAAGTTCCTGTGGGTGCAATATGTGCCATACAGTGGAAATTAAAGACCAGAGAATTAACAGGGTTGTGTTACAAAGCTGAAGGCATTTTTATCCTTATATGTGTGTACTCACAGAAGAACATACTGCACTAATGAAACACAACTTTATGTTCCCAGTCATATTTATGCTGGCAAGAAATGAGCGTAACTCAGTAAGTTTGTTGCCAAGCAAGCGTAGCTATGGGATTTTTTTTTGGTGGGGGAGAAGAGGAGATGTTTGTGGGGTCTTTCACCCCCTTGGCTTTATGTGATGTGTACGAG